CGGTGGGGGCCGAGGCCGCCGTGGGAGGAGACGGCGTGCCCCTGGGGGCCGGCACAGCAGGCAGCTCACGTCCCTCATCTGGGTCTCTCTTCTAGTTTGGGGAAGGATGGGAGCTTGGAGGAGGAAGAGGAGGAAGAGGAAGACTTGGATGAAGCCGCGGCGGGCAAGCGCCAGAACATTGAGGTGAAAGCCCCCCAGGCCTCCCACACTAACTACCTGCTGATGAGGGGCTACTGCGCCCCCGGCATCGTCAGCATCCGCAACCTCAACCCCAACGACAGCATCGTGGTGAACTCCTGCCAGGTGAAGTTCCGGCTGCGCCGCACACCCTTGCCCACCCGGCTCGGGCCTGCCGGTGAGTGCTCCCCGTCCTGCCCGGCCCCGCCCCTCTGGGACGCCGGGACGTGGTCGTGGTCGAGTCCCCTGCGGCCTCTGTGCGGCCGCACTCGGCTCGCCCGTCCTCTCATCTGCTGCGGGCCCGCCGCTCACCTGCTGACTTGCGTTGGCTCCCTTGGGGACGTCAGATAACTAACTGCTGTGTTTCCCGTGCCCTGGACATAGCAGTCTCTTCCCTCTGCGCTTACTGAGAATACCGGCCCCCGCTCCTTCCCTCCCAGCCCTCTCCTGCCTCAGTCTGACACCCCCTTTCTCATCCGAGAGCCGGGCAGTGTCCCCACGGTGCCCCTGCTGGAGTCCCGCCAGCCCGTAGACTGCAGCGTGGCCCGGCCGTGGTCTCAGACTGCAGGGATGGCAGGAGAGTAGAAGGTCCCTGTGCCTCGCGGCGCGTGGGCCGCTGGGTGTGTGGGCACCAGGACTCCCGGCAGAGCAGTGAGGGGCCCCCGCCAGAGCTCCGGGTTCTCATGCCGCCCTGTTCCCTGTGAGGCTGCAGGAGCAGGATTCCAGGGGCCCCAGAGAGGCCGGCCACTGTTGGGGGCGCGTGACGCCGCGCCCCAGCATGTCCTGCCGCACACAGCCTGTGCTCTGCTGGGCGATGGGGTGCTGTTGGGCTGACCCCGCCTCTGCCTCACCCCGCAGTCACGTCCCTGGACGAGCTAACTGTGGGCGGCGCCCACCTCCCCGACACGTTCACCAGGCTGATAAACAGCCAAGACGCCTGCAGCCTGGAAGACTTTGCTCACCAGCTGGAGCTGTCTGGCTACACCCCCGAGGACGTGGCTGCTGCCTTGGAGGTCCAGGGGGCCATTGCGGCCTCGGGTTGCTTCGGGGTGGACAAGGCAGAGCTGGGCAGGCGCTTCTCCGCCTTTGAGAAGACAGATGGCGAGCGCACCAGGACCTTCACAGACTACATTCAGGTGAGCCCGCCCTGCACGCCAGTCTGTCGGGACAGGCAACTCATGGGGCGGGAGGGGGTGCCAGCCCGGTGCACGTCGGTCCCACACTGACCCATGTACCCCTGCTTTCCTAGGACCTCCTGGGGCAGCACCAGGTGCTGGAAGTGGGCGGCAACACAGCTCGCCTGGTGACCATGGCCTCTGCCCAGCCCTGGCTCCTTCACTCGGTGCGGCTAAAAGAGGACAATGCAGATGCTCAAAAGGAAGACCCCCAGGCCAGGGCCCCAGAGGGGTCTTCCAGTGAGGGCGGCCCCTCCGAGGACAAGACACCCCCTTCTCAGGGGCCTAGGAGCACCAAGAGGCGGGCCAGCTGGGCCGTCTCTGACCCGGCCAGTCAGAGTGGAGAGCCCGACAGCGCCCAGACCCCCCCTGCAAAGAGGCTCACGCTCCAGGATGTGCGTGTCGCCCCCAGCCCTGAGCCCCGAGCCGACGAGGGGGCAGAAACCCAGGTGTTTGCTCTGCCCGCAGCGTCTGAAGACACAGATGCAGGGGAGCCTCCCCAGGGAGCGCCAGATTCTGGGCAGCTGGACCAAGAGGTTGTTGGGGGACCCAGCTCCCCAGCCCAAGAGCTCCTAGCCTGTCAGACCCAGCTTCCAGAGGGCTCGGAAGACCCCAGAGGTACAGAACCGTTTCCTCCCCGCACCCAGCAGCTCCCTTGGGTGACTGACCCACCCTGTCCTCCCAAACCGGGAACCTGCTCTAGCCAGGAGTGGAGCCTTGACTTCCGCTTTCCTTCCCTGAGCCTGGAGGGGAAAGGTCCTGCTCGTTTATGCTCAGTGGAGGGCAGAGGGTTGCAGGCTCTCGAGGTCATTCTGGAAAGCCTACTCGGGCAGCCCTGACAGGAGCAGGGGCAGGAGTCGGGGGTCTTCTGAGGGTGGGGGGTGCGCCGCCCGCCTGCACGCTCAGGCTCTTCACGCCCCCGAGTGTGTTTGCTTTGGGCAGCCTGCCTAAGGACTGACCCACGCAGCTCTGCATCGGGGTTTCTGGAGGAAAGATGAGGTGCTTACTTGCGTGCCCCCATCCCGCCCCTGCATGGGGCTCCTCAGACTCCTGGGAACCAGCCCCCTCACCCCACACTGGCTCACGAGGTCCAGCCCAAATTGTGTCTCATCCGTGGCCTCTGCGGGCCGCCCCCCCCCCCCCCCCCGCCCCCCGAGGTCCAGCCCAAATTGTGTCTCATCCGTGGCCTCTGCGGGCCGCCCCCCCCCCCCCTGCGCAGGAGGGCGGCCGTGAGGGTGGGGGTTGCAAGTCTTCTTGTTCCGGGCTTTGCCCCCAGCGTCTCTTGCCCTTTCCTGCTGCTGTCAGGTGTGCTGGAGAGTGCCGTGACCGGCAGCCTGTCCCAAGCCATGCTGGAAAAGTGAGTGCGACTCCCCCTGGGGGGCTGGGGCTCTCCCCCCTGGGGGGGGCTGGGGCGCTGAGAGCCGGGGAGTGTGACTCCCCTCGGGGGGGCTGGGGCGCTGAGAGCCCGGCGTCTGCCATGGGCCGTGCCCCTCCATTGCAGAGGCCTGAGCCTGGCACCCGCTTGCCCGCCCCGCAGGGACTGCGAGAGCATCTGCTTCATCGGCCGCCCGTGGCGCATCGTGGACGGCCACTTGAACACGCCGGTGTGCAAGGGCATGATGGAGGCCGTGCTGTACCACATCATGGCCAGGCCTGGCGTCCCCGAGAGCTGCCTGCTGCAGCACTACCAGGGCGTCCTGCAGCCCATCGCCGTGCAGGAGCTGCTGCAGGTGCGTCCAGGCTCCCAGGCCCCCGGGAGGCCTCGGCGCACGCGGGGGCGGCGGTGGATGTGCTGGGTGGTCCTGCCAGGGGCGGCCCGGAGGGCCGCAGATAAGGGGGTCAGCTCGTCTCTTCCCCCGAGTGGGCTCCTGGGGGGGGGCTGTGCCCGCTGTGCCGTCTCCGCCCGTGTGGGGCTGACCAGCCGTCCATCCTCCGCCCGGCTCTCTGCCCTTCAGCGCTGCGGTCGCCCAGGCCTGTTCTCCACATTTCTCTCTCAGCCTCGAGCCTCCTGACACCTCCCTGGGCTTCTGCCCCCCACTGTCCCCTGCTGCCTAGCTCATGTCTGCAGGGCCTCCCGCTGGCACTCTCTCTAGCCCGGACTCCTGAGCCCCCAGGGCAGCCGCTTAGTGGGCCCTGAGCCCTGTGGGAAGTGGAGGAGCTGGGGACCAGAGGTGGTGTCCTGGGTTGCTGGCCTGCACCCCGGCTCTGTGGGAGTGGGGGCTTGAAGTTCAGTGTGAAAGCCAGCACCGGTGCCTGGGAAGCCAGTTTGTGGCCTGGCTCTACACTGCCTCGGCGTACAAATGCCAGTTACCCTCTCTATCCCCCTGCCCAGAGGCCACATAGGCAGCTGCTCCTGCACTCACCTTAAACCTGTTTGTGGTTCTCCAGGGCCTGGAGTACCTTGGCTGCATTAAAAAGCGCTGGCTGAGAAGGCCCGCGCCTCCCTCGCTCTTCTCGAAGCCGGAGTTCGAGGAGCCAGAGGCGCCCTGCGGCCTGAACGAGAGCGCCACGGTGTTCTACGAGCCCACCCTGGACTGCACGCTGCGGCTGGGCCGCGTGTTCCCGCACGAGATCAACTGGAACAAGTGGCTGCACCTGTGAGGCCGCTGGTCAGCAGGGCCCTCCGCGCTGACCCCGGGAGCCAGCCCGCGCGAA